TATTAATTACTACTGTTGATTTGGCCAATTATTATTATTATTGGCCAAATCAGGGATTATTATTATAATATATTATAATATTATATTATTATCAGGGATTTCACAGGGGCAAGGTACACGTCGATTTGTGCATCTCCCACGCCTCCCTGTTACTCTCTGACATATTGCGTGGAGGGCTACGCAACTCGTAGCCTTGGGGACCTGACGATGCAAGAGTACAACACAATAAACTGTAAAAAGTACTTTTCTTGTCTCACATCCCGAGGAGCAGTACAAATAAAATTTAAAAGGTAAGGCCCATCTTGTTTTTATGAGAAGATGGTGCAGTAAACAGACTAAAAAAGGAGCCATGACACCAGCCATATGTCACCCTCTCGCTATACGCCTTCAAGTCTTTTTGTCCACCCTTTTTTCTTTAAGCATATAGTCCAGAGGACAAATTAGGAACCTGCAGTAATCAGCATGAGATTTAATAAACACATGGACAGCGTGAAGCATCTGCCACAAAAGAAACTGCTCCAAGCTGGCGAGGTTCCCAGGCGTAAAAATAAATTCTTCAACAATTGTCAGTCGAGCCCCAGAGGGCAAGGAGGGGTAGAGGGGAAGGTGGCCGAGGTGCTAACTAAAAAAAATAGCTTTACTGAACTGATCTCTATTAAAGGGAAAATGACACCTCAAGGGCAGCAGCTGTACAGCACTGTCTGTGGCAAAGCTTTTTTTTTTTTTTTCCAGGACAAACCTTAACTGCTCCTGAAACATGCAAATGTGAACATCCTTGGGCAGGCTGAGCATGCACGCCCTTGTGCAGAACAGCAGGAAAAAACAGACAAATCGAACTGCTGAAGGCTCATATGTGGGTTATGATGGGTTTCTTTTCCAGGAGACCAGACAAAAGAAAGCAGAAAAACCCTGCAGGTAAGTATTTTGTAAGTTCTGATTTGTTGCCAGCTGGGTGAGATGGGCAGCAGCAACCAGCGTGCTGGGGACACGATGGGCGAGCAGAGCCAGTGCTGGGCAGACCCGGGGCAATTAACCCAGCCTTAATTAAGAGCAGTGGCAATACAAGCATCACTGAGGCTTGCTGATCCATTCCCATCAATGGATGGTGTTCTGAGCAAAAACCAGCCTACACCAGGTGAGGAACGGTGCTTGGACACATCCTCATGCTCAGCACTGCCAACACATGTCCCCACATAGCAAAGCGAGGGGCAGGCACACCGAGTGTCCCTGGAGAACAGCCACACCACGAGGGTCAAGCAAAGACTGAGAGGAACCCAGGACCCCCAGCAGCATGTCATTCAGCAGGAGTCATCACCAGGACTTCTTTCCCCTAGCAATAGCCAGGTTTTGTGAAATTTAACAGTTATTTTGAGAAATACACGCTTCTTTCAAATGGGAGTAATTGGACTGTGTGTCCAAACTAGAGGAGAATGTAGAGCTGAAATAACACTATCCTTAAAATTAATCTTAAGACAGTCACTAGTTTGCCGGAGACAAAATACATAAGAACTGAGAGCTGGGCTCACCATTTTTGGTGCTGCAGCAGCCTCCAACACCAGTCACTTATTGCCAGGTTGAATGCAATGCCATGTTAGACTTCAATGGCACAACACAAAAGTAAAGCAGGAGTGAAAACACTGGCCTCAGACATGAGGCCCTTCTGTTTTCACCAAGGAGTAGAAGTATTTGATGAGCTTTTGCCATTGCATCCACAGGGCAAGCTAAAAGCCTTGCTCAGTGAGTTTCTGTAATAAAGGGTGAAAGAACTGGCAGTTTCTTTTGGAGAAGGAGGGATTCGCCTCTCAGCCAACAAAACCAGCAGGGATTGCCATGTTCCTGTCCCCTTACACTGCTCAGCGTACCCTTGGTTGTGCCCGTGCCTTTCCTCACATGGCCACACTAGAGCAGGTTGCATTACTTCACGTTGATGTACACATACAAAAGCAAATTTCATTACTCAGAGCTCTAATTTAAGACTTTTGACATACTACTAATAAAATGTATGTAGCTTAATGAAACTCTGCCCATATGGATTCACATCAGGTTGATAGCAGCACTTCAGTCAGCTGCTCCCACTACACGCAAGGAGGCGTGTGCTTAGGATAAATACACCTTGCCTTCCAAACGCTGCAAAATCACATTAAAGCAGAGCTAGCAGCAACCAGACTGGATTTGGAAAGATTTTTTTCCCCCACAAACTATGGCGTAAGGAACTGAAATTGGAATAACAAAATCAGGGGCAGAGTAGTAGTCTCGCATTGCACTCACAGGATTTGATTTATATTGCAGCTTGTCGTGCACATTGCTTAGAAATATGTGTAAATACAACTTACTTTTGCAGCGTGACACTAACTGAGCTAGAAAAAAATCAAGCACATTATCAGAGCTGCAATGCATGTTGGTATTGCACCACTGAGAGCAATTTAAAGATTGATATTTATTTCTCTTACTGTATAAATTACATCATGGGAGGAAAAAAAAAATAGGAGACACTAATAAAATAGCATTTTGTTCTGACTGTTTATTACCTTTAGAGGTGAATAAAAGCAGAGAGCAATATTTTATTTGCTGTTTTGTAATACGCCTTCCTGTGCTACAAGCAATTTTGAAATATTTCAAATGAGTAGATACGCCTCAAAGCTACTGCCCTCCTGCAGTGACTTCCCTTTTAATAGCGCTCACAGCCATAACTCCCGTGCCTGGCTGCAGGAGCCCAGCACGGCGATGTTCCCGTCCTGCTGCTCTCCTGAATCAGCAATTGGGCTTCAGGCCGTGCTCACCGAGCTCAGCAGACCAGTAACAAGCACCAGATCAAGCCGAATGCTGTTACTGCAGACTCCTTGCATAGCTACTGAGCAGAACTTTGCAGGGTTTTTAGAAGTGATGGAAACCCAAACAGCAGCAAATATTTAAATGAAATAAGTCTGTCTTGATGCTTTGGGTCACCTGCACGCAAGCCTCCATCCCAGCACAGATATTTACTTTCAGCAGAAACCAACTCAACCCTCCAAAACTGCTCAGCATCACCTCAGGTAACATTTTAACGATGCCAGTTTGGGAGCAAGACCGCAGCCAGGTGCCTTTGCCCAAGGAGATGCTCACAGAGCTGCCAGGCTGTGTGTCTGGGGGGGGTCCCAGGCTTCAGGGCTGCCCTCGCCCCCTCCCCAGCAGCTCTGCCACTGAGCGGGGCTGGGGGAGCAAACCAGGGCACTGCTGGGAGCTGGCTCCCAGTTTGCATCAGGTTTTGGCCACTTTAAACACTAAGTTTAAACACTAAGTATTTGGAGTTAGTTCTAGATAATCCCAATTATGGTGCAGCTCTGTAATGCAGTTCTTGCTCCTAAAATCTGTCCCCTAAAGCCACTCAGAGCAGTTGTCCCCAAGCTGACAATGAGCAAGGAAAGCGTCCTATAACATGTGCAACACACACATTCTTCATTCAGAGACACGACCAGAGCTTGAGGTGCTGCTCGAGGCACAGCCAGGCTTCCCAGCACACTCTGGGCTGGCACAAAGGCTTTTTCTCAGCATTTCTTGCAGCCACAGCTCCGGGCAGCAGCGTCAAGCAGCAGGAGAAGCACCAGGACCAGGACAAGAGGAGGAGGCAGGAGGAAGAAGGCTGGAAGCCCTCGGCCCCAGACCAACAGAGCTGTGCTGTGTCTGCAGACAACACGACCAAAAACTGACCAATTTACCTATAAACTCTTACAGTGCTTAGAGACCAACACTAAGGGTGGAACTGAGAACACAGCAAGCATATTTACACTATAATAAAACTATGGGAGAACCTTTTTTTGTCCATCGCTTTTAGCTGGGAAAATCATATTTTTAAAGCCCGGATTGCTACTGTCAAGGGTATTTTCTGCATAAAACCACAGCCGAGCCTGTCAGGGCTGTCACGCATACGGATAGCAGCTGTCTTCCCTTCATTTGAAGCATTTAAACTGTCTACCTCGCCTTGTACCTTTCATCTTTAACCTTTGGAAAGACGTGCCCTGGATCTTCTGGCATGCTGTCAGGCAGAGCTGACGTGCCGGGGGAAAGCCAAGGGGGAGCAGGAGCACACAGCCTGCCGGGCACTGCCCAGGGCAGTGGGGAAGGCTCCAGCCACTGCTGCCTTCCTCCAAGCCCCGTGCCCCAAAAAAGCTGCCTGCATGCTCCTGCCTGAGGACGGCTGCTTCTGAAAGGCAGGAGTTTACCCTGCTGCTGGGAGCTGACCATATTGCGTGTGAAAACCTTTTTTCACCGTGTATGGTGCACCACCACTCAAATTGCAGCAGAATTAAAGCCACTTGGCAAGACGAGAGAGCCATTAATCAGAGGCTGTAGCAGCCACTGCCAGGCAGGTAACGGCGAGGGAATGCTGTTTGCATTACCCACACAGAGGGGAGGGGAAAAAAAAATCAATATATTCTTCTAAAGTGGGCTCCTTTTCCTAAAGTGACGTTTTTACAGAGCATCATTCTTAATATTTATTCCTTCCCCGGGCTAAGGGGCCATTGCTCACCTCTCCTGGCAGAGTTAAATGAACAGACAGCCCCTCGTGCGCTCAGAGCCACAGCCTTTCCTACAAGGATTCCCCAGACAAGAGGCTCTAACACCAGGATGCAAGACAAGGTGTAACAGCATGGGGGGCACTTTTCCTACTGCTGTAAAATAACTTAAAGCCTATGAAACTCACCCCTTTGTCATTACGGCACCCAAGCATTCCTCCTTAGGGTGGTCCAAACACATCTGGTTTCAAGAAACAACTCAGAAAACCTTCAAATAATTAAAGCCCATTACACATCCAACGTCAAGTTAGTGAACAGGATTTTTTCTCTCCACACACAAGTCTGTGAAGTACTCAGACACACCCGCGCACATCATTCAGAGGCTCATCCACCAGCATAGTGACAATGTCAGCAGAGGCATCAAAACCTGGGGAAAAGATGTAAAAGGAAGAAATCCCTCCCCATAGCTCCTTGGTACTCACTGGGACACTTTGTGCAAGGCTTCACTTTAGTACTCAGCAATAAATTTTTATTCAAATAACTTTTTTTCTTCATTATCAAGGATGCTGTTCATGAAGGATGAAGACCACTATTGCTCAGTGTAAGAAAAGAGGAGATAATTATTGGCTCCTACAGTTTAATTAAAATGAGAATACAACTGTTTGGAACTCGAGTCATTTGGTGTATGTAATTAAGCTCTTTGGTCCTACCAAACGAGCAACCATTACTGCAGTTCCAGATTTCAGCCTGACGAGCTGCCAGCTAAGTTATTCCTGCACTGTAGCTTGATGAACAGAGGAGTTGTGCTTGTAAAATGGGAACCCTTGAGAAAATCTGAAGCTGTTGCTGGCCGTGGTGCAGGGAGGACATGTGCCATGTGATGGATGGAGCCACGCAGAGCATCCCTGGGTGCGGCCACCCCAGCACCCTGCACAGCTCCCTGAAATGCAGCCACGAGGAGTGGGAGTGAGGAGGGCTCGCAGCTCGGTCTTGTTTCCAAGTGAAGATCTCGGTTACTGGTGGTAATTGTGTCTGTAGCTTGAGATATCACTTCTCTGCACAGCAGAGGCTTTGGGGAGGCTTTCTTTATCAGAAATGGTTTTTAAAAATGAGTCTGCTTATCCTTTGTTATTCCAGCCCATTCCATTAGCATTTCTATACAAGGAGAAAAGAAAATAACCAAAAAAGCCCACGAAGTTTTTTCCTACAAAGTCTTTTCCTACAAAGACACTTGGATGTAGAAAAACTTGTTGTTTTGGAAGGACTCCTAAAAGAATATTTTAACTTGATATTAATGGAACAGAAGAGCTGCAGAAATGCGTACTGGGGAAGATCCTGCTCTCTCCTTGTCAATCATACGTAAGTCACACTACTACTTCTTCATCCCTCTCTGAGTGCTTCTTGAGATTCTTGGGTAATTTGAACCATTAAAGATTTTCAGATAAATTGGTGATGCTTTGAAGTTTCTTTCCACTGGGCTTGAGAGTCTCTTCTTCCTCTCTCCCTTCTCTCTGCCATTTAATGTCCCCAGACACCTGGAAATAAAACCGTGGGATTAGAAACAGAAAAAAGAGAGTAAGATGATGCCATTTGAGAGTTTTTGATCATTAATGCCCAATTAGCCAGCAGAAAGGATCAGCTGAGATTTGCCTGGTCTGATGAAGCCAGCCCTGGCCATTGCCCTTGCCACTGCTCGGCTCACGTCCCAGCACGAGGATCGTGAAACTCATCCCACATGGGAAGTGCATCAGTACATCCAAATTGTGTTTAAAGGTGGCAGAGGCTGAAGACTCTAGATTAAAGTAGGATTTTGGCAGTATTCTGCCCAAGCAAAGACCGCAGCTGATTTACAGCTGTGAAAAAGAAAAAAAAAAAAATAGTGTTGATGAGTTTGTAGCGAGCTCCTGGGCTGCAGACATCACGTTGTGCTCCTGATCCGAACTCTGATGCCCAGAGAAGTCTGGCTGAGGCACCACACAGTGTACCAAGCCAAAACAAAAAGGACAACAACAACAAGAACTCTAACACTTCAAATTGCTATATAAATAAACCCTGTCCATAAAGGAATGGCTACACAAAGCTTGATCCAGGCTCTGCGTCCCCATCAAGCAGCAGCTATTCCTTATCCAGAAGGGAGGAAGGCAAGGTGCTCATAACCTCAGCACTGGTCACCTGCTGTTTTTCTTTTTTCCTCCTTTTGCAAATCCCTCTGCTGAACCCCAGCTGCGTGTTTTCCATCCACAGAGATGCCAGCAGAGAGCAATCTGAGCAGGCTGTGATTCATTATAACTCACCCACCCAAAACAAATGCTAAAGAAATAAATAAATTAAAAAAAAAAAAAAAAAAAAAAGAGCTGTGAAGGTGCAGGAGGAGAACCTCTGGGAAGTGGGATCCACACCACATTTCGGAGGCTCGTGCCTGCTGGTCCCTGCCACACCAGGGCTTAGCCCAGCTGAGCCACGGGGCTCGCCACAGAAGCCATCGATCAGCGTCCTCACACAATCGATGGTGCTGGCTGATGACTTTGGGCCCCTTTTCAAGGAGGAATTTCATTCATGGTCAGTACGCCACCACTCCAAACAGCGTGGCCGTAAGATGGAGCATGGAGCCAGCGAGCGGGGGCATCAGCCACGTGTTTGATAGCCTTAATTACGGAGACAGCTCCCCACCAGCAGGGGAAAGAGCAGGCTTGGGATTAGGGAACACTGCCTGTGCTGAGCTTCTGGGGAAGCAAGCTTACATGTGCTAGAGGTGAAACAAATACACAGCTGCAGACACAAAACTACACCTCTGAATTTATAAATATTAGCCTTATACCAAAGGGTGGGCCACACCGCACAGACACCAGCATGTGGAGGGATGGCTTAGGACTATGTTACTCTCAGTGCCTCTGGTACCGGTATTTTTCCTGCCCTTTTATTACACATCCCCCTTGCTTTATTTTTCAATTTCAAGGACAGCAATTGCCACATAACACCAGAGAATTCTGTATTATTTTATGATTGCACATTCCAGAATACTAATTTTATAAATTACACTTCTTATTTCAGACAAATGAACCTTTTACTTTGAAGTGAAAATCATAAACCTACCAGTATATCCTATTTTATTCAGAGCATCTGGAAATTGTTACTTTTTTTTTGCACTTTTTCATTTCAGAGGCCACACTGTAATTTCTATGTCTTGAAGATACATTTATTCATAGGTCTCCTATAATGAAATTCTTATTTGACAAGTTGTCCATCAAAAAACATTTTCAGCTGCAACAACATGAGTCACACAGCAACTAAAAGATCTTGACTTGTATGTGTTTGTTTCTCAGGCTTGTCAACTGGCAACCATTTCATTTGATAGTCTGAAAAAGTTTCTCCTCAGGAAGGCAAATATTTTTCCGGCTCACTGAGAAAAGTTCTTTTTAATCAAGACGTAGGATAAAAGTTGTTCCTCGCTCCTTTCCATCATTACTCAATGTTATGATTTTATTCACTAAAAATTACTTGTAATCTAGACAGTGTCAATATACATGACTAAACTGAACACATAGTGACACATCCCTAGGTAATTTGGTCTGTAAAGGGAAGGAAAAAACACTTTTGCATCAAAGTCTGACCATCAGTTTTCTTAACCTAGACTGGGGAAAGACTGGGAGGGATCATATTATGGAGACAAACCACTGGGGGCCCATTTGTCAGAACATCTGACAGCCCTAATACAGACCAAATAGAAGCTGAAAGGTAAAGGGTATCAAAGCTTCAGGTGACTTATCTGAACTCAAAACATTAAAATAAAGCTTAAGTCAAAGGGTCTTACCTAGATAGAGAAGGGTGTCTTACCAGCTAGGTAAGTGTAGGTATAGGTGGGGTATTGATATGGTAGCCTGGTATTAAAGCATGGAATGCTGAGGGCTGGTTCTTGTCCTACACCCTTTATAACAAAGGAAAACACACAAAACAATCAGAAAGCCATGAGTATCAAACACTAAATTCTAAAGTCTTAAATAAAAAGCAGCTATATTTTCCTCCTCACTATCGATCTGAAAATTTTCACTGTGAGTTTAGTTCCCTGAGGTTTGATTGGGATTATTGCACACAGAGCCCCTTGGAAGGGGCTCTCTGCACTGGCTTCAGAGAACATCAGAACAGATCTATATAAAAATGACCATCTTGATGGGTTTCCATTCCTGCGTATTGCATTGCCTTCCTCTTCATCTATCGATTCTGAAGAGAACTGCTGGAAAGAATGATACGGGATCAGCTCTACAGACAGGAATTTTCACTTGGTAAGCAACAAACTGCTTCATGTGTGCCTGAGATTGTCAATTAAGTTGAAGACATTATTAAAGAATTCACAAAATTGCTTTTCATCGCCTCTGAGAGGCTGGTACGAATTGGGCTTACAGTATCTCAGGTCTCATCAGACAGATGAGCAGCAGCAGTGGGAGATCATTCAAAACACTCATTTCTAATCAGTTCCATAAGACTCATTTGCAGAGGAAATTTTCCGTTTTGGTAACCATACAAAATGTCACATCTTTCAAGGCAGCCTTATCGGAATAAAAACAACAAATAAAATGCCAAATTCTGACACTGTAAAGTTCATTGCAATGAAAACTGTATTTCATTACTTCACATCTGAAAGTAACTCTATCCCCAGACCATTAATTATAATCAGTCACAGACAAAAACAAAGGAACACAGTCCATGAGTAAGGTGTCATGGGAATATGCAGATGTGATCCCAGAGCTCAGCATCCAGGCCCGGAGTACAGACATCCCAAATGGTTTTGCTTATTCAAGAATTCTATTATGCTAAAGCAAAGGTATAAGTTGTTTAGGTTCAATCTCATCTGCAAATGCAATACAATGGTATAAGAAGGGGTTGCAAAAGGTATGGGATATTAAAAAAAAAAAAAAAACACTTGGGAAAAGGTCATTAACAGACAAGATACTTGTTTCCACAATAGGGACATGGAGAAATAAATAGACAGCGATCAACTAAACCAGCCAACAAGCAATGGAGAAAGGTAGTTATCAAAGTAAGGGGTCCTGGTCCTGCCAAAAATGGGTTCAGAGAGCCCCCACCTGCTCAGCCTCCTGAACCCCACACGCTGCTCCTTCCTCTAAGACTTTATTTCTCTAATTCAATTACATCACTAGAATGGTTTGTCTGGAGCTGAAAATGGTGTGGAAATTAAAGCAAGCTCAGAAATGGCTTCATGTTGAGAACATCTTAGTAGCCCGAAGAGCCTGAAATGCTTCCAAACAAATATTTAACAAACTCTGAAAAATTAGAGTTTGGTATTTCAGTGCATTGTACCCTCTAACTTTCAAGGCAACAATTTAACTTTTATTTCCTATCACAAAAACAACCAGCAGCAGCAGAACAAGCAATTGCCACCATGGCATTAGAGCTGTTGAACAAGGCTATCTCCTGAAACACACAACTGAGAAAGTTTGCATTTTGGATCCAAACAGAGCCCTTATCTACCTGATTACATGCTGCAAAAACCTGTCCTCATCACAGCCAGCAAACTTCACCCCCAGTTTCAGCAGAGCCATGGCAACAGAAGGCATCACAGTTTGTGGAGACAGAAGGTAATTCACAAAAGGAAAAAAACTGAAGAAACTCTTATTTTATTGGCATTTGTTGTCCTTATCCAAGGAAACCTTCAAGCTAAAGGCTGAAGCCTCATTTTTTCATTTTATTTTTTAGTTCTCTACGGTTTCCCATAAGCTTACGGAGGATTCCTAAGCTCACATAATTTACATGTATAAAGAAAAAAGCCACACTACCCTTGCATACAGAATTTTACTGATCTTTTTCTTATTCAGCAAGACAACTACCCAACTAAACGTATTTATTCCGTCCACAATAGAGCTGATCTCATGCTTCCCAATGAATTTCCAATGCAGAAGAAAATTTCTCAGCCCATGGTTTCATCACTACAGAAGTGACCAAGGCTGCCCTGTGCAGGTTCCATGTCTTGCCAACCCCCTCTGTCTAGTGCTTAGCACCTGTTAGCTTCTATTAAACAAGCTGTTAGTATTTACTCATCTTCAAAAAAGAAAAAGATTAATGTGGATTGCAGTAATAAAGCGTGCTTAATAAGTCCACCTTTCTTCCACACCAAACTAATTGGAGTAGGTTCACCCCAAGTTCTTTCCCCCAAGGCTTTCACACTACCAGTTTTTCACCCAAACCCCCACTTTTGGCAACACACTCGAGGCAGCAGGGCTTTTTGTTGTTTCGGATGACTAAGTAACCCCAGACTGTTGTTCTTTCTTGGTGCTCCCAGAAAACCAACGGTAAGAATTTCTCTCGTGCTTTGTGAAACTGACAATTTTCCAATTTTTATTACAACTATGATTTGCTCAAAATAGAGATAACCCTGTGTCCCTTTCGAGCAGCTTGTCAAAGGCTGGTGCTATCTTTGAGCTGTCTTGTTCATCACACATAAAAGCAAATTTCTCAGACCATTTTGTCTCTTATAAAGCCCCTGAATATATTTCCCCCCAAGCCTCAGCCTAATTGACAT